TTCCACATGTGCGAAGCCTTATATGTGAAGGAATTATGATAATATCGATTGTTGCAGGACTGTTGAAAGAGATTGTGATCGCTGTTCCTTAAATTGTAGCGCAATTTACGAGGTTCGAATGAATCAGAAATATAGTCATTACACATTTAAAAAGGAGAACAAGAGATTGGTAATATTGTCTGTGTTCCAGTGATTGCATATTTACAATAGACAATATAGAGTCATAATTAAAGCTGTTTCCAAAATTAAAAAGGACTTTTAGGGCAAAATAGTTTGCAGATGCAAGTTTCTTATTCAAGGTTTTGTTAATTCCTAATAGTAATGGACTACAATATTCAAGATGTGGAAGTATATAGGCCTTGTACAGCATTAATGAGATATCAGCTGGGACTATCTTTTTAAGTCGTCTCAGAGCTCTGATCTTGGCATAGACGAACACCAAGGATATTCAGGAAGCCACTTATTTTGATAACGGTGTCGCCAATATAAAGAGTAGGTTCATGAGAGTGTTTACCCAGTATCATAGCTTGGGTTTTCTTGCTGTTGACGAACAAATAATTTGAAGCAAATCAGGATGAGAGGTTCTTAAGATCTTTGTTAAGAGACAGTTCCAGTGCAGAAATGTCTGTATTAGACGCATAGGCTGTGGTATCATCAGCGTAGAGCCTCATGGAGGTTAATTGAATAGAAAAAAATTATATTGTTGATAAATAGGTTAAATAGGAGTGGCCCCAGAAGGCTACCTTGAGGAACGCCACAGTACACTGGTAACCAATCCGAGAAAACTCCCCCGATCTTCACTCTTTGCTTTCGACCAGACAAGTAGGAATCCAAGAAGTCAATCGCCTCCACACCAACACCATAAGTGCGCAGCTTTGCAAGAAGCAGGTTATGACATATGGAATCAAAGGCTTTAGATAAATCGATTGCAATGGAGCCAATAACCTTTTTAGAACCCATTTTGATCAGAGCAGTGCAGCATGAATGACCGCAAAGAAAGCCAGGCATGTTAGACGAGAACAAGGATTGAAATGCGTCATACAGCTGGTCAAACACGACTTTTTCTAAGATCTTGCGTATGATGGACAGGACACTGATGGGTCTGTAATTTGATACTAATGTGGCATCGTCTTTTTTAAATACAGGTGTCACATGGCTGAGCTTCCACTCGGTAGGCCACGTAGAGGTACTAATGCAGAGATTAAGTAGCTTTGTGAGGTGAACCGCTATAGATGGTGCTGAATATTTAAGAATCTTGGGCATTATGTTATCGGGTCCGCAGGATTTGTTGCACTTGATCCTATCCAGAAGAGATTGAATATATGAGACACATCCAGGTTGAAAAGAAAAGTTCAGCTTAAAGTCGCGTGATGGAATAGAGATGCTAGGGTGGGTCGAAAATTCTTCCTGCTTGAGTTTTAGGGTGGACTGGTCCAAGACTGGGGTAGAAAAAAGAGAATTTAAAAAGTGTGAAGGTTCTGTGGTGACTTTGCCGTCATCTATCAGGTGAATATCATCCTTGGAGACATCCCTCCCTGCGGAGGGTAATAGGGGTTTTAGATTTTTCCAGAAGCTGTTGGGTGTGCTTGCATTAGAGGCAGAATCAGCGCAAAATCGTTTAATTGCGACTCGTTTCAGTTTAGTGACTATGTTCCTTTGTGTCCTATAGTGCTCCCACGCGTCTTTAGTTTTTTGTACAGTTAGTTTCTCAAGTGCATAGATTTCTTTATCTCTACATTGATCCAGGGAAGCTGATTAGATCGAACTCTCTTTTTTATACAGGGTGCGTGTTTCTCTACTAGGACATTAAATAGTTTAGACCAATGGCCCCAAACATCATCAATGCCATCAAAGATAAAAGCCATGTTCCAAGGGGTTGTCATTAAATCGGCCAGGAATGCATCTTGATTAAAGTGTTTCATACTTCTGGAATCGATTACTTTGACTTTGGATTTTGGTAATCTTTGCTTCCTGATGATTTAAATAAGGTCATGGTCACTCATGCCGAGTTGTAAGGAGCCACTAGTAGCCCAGTACTCAGGTCGGTTGACAAGGATCACATCAATCAGCGATTTACTTGTGTTTGTCACTCTTGTCGGTTCATCTATTGTATTGGTGAAACAAAACTGGTCGCAGAAGTCAATTCAGGGATTAGTATGACTAAGCAAATCAGTGTTGTGATCATTTTGAAGCATGTTGATGTTGAAATCGCCCAAGAATATAATTTCGCTCTTGGACTTAAGCATTTTATCTGTGGCAGTTGAGCAGGTAGAAATAAAATCAGATACTCTGCCGAGGTTCGGGGAACGGTAGCAGGCACATATGTAGTATGATGTATTAGCAAATCCTTTGACATTTAAGCAAATCGATTCCACATTCTCTGGTTCCATTTTAGGCTGCCATCGAGCAACAACTGAATTACGGATATAGACTAGTAGACCACCAGCGCCTCGCTTTCTGTCTCAGTGTATGATGCGATAATGTGGGTTAGATAGTAGGGTTGATGAAATCGAGGGTCGATCTTGCCTAGGATACAGTTTACGTTCAGATGGCCAGTGGATAAGTTGTTCTTGTAGTAGCCCCTATGCTTATCGTAGCATAAGAGAAATTTCGATCGAAACTTACCACATTCCTACCTAATTCTTTTAATCTGGAGCCTTTCGCTCATGGTCGTCATTGTCACTTGGGTAATTGTTGACCACACAAAAAAACCGCCGTTGAATTCTCGTTGCTCGACTGATCTTACTATGACTCAAGCATGGTTTATTAGTCTTACAGGAAAACATGTGCCCGCGTTACTTTATGAAATACCTGTAACGTGATTGGTCAAGCACCCGTCAGTTAGTAAGAACGAATGAGTTCACACTCAATGAGTGAAACCATGCCTTAGACCAGAATTTTTATTTTTCGTCATGTAAGTTCAATACAGAAAAGAAACTTCTCTCGGAAAACGAAAGAGAATATCAGCTACAAGAGCCAAGCGATTCAAGTGCAATGCTATGAGTAGTAAAAGCTGCAGTTCAAGTGACCGAGAGCAAGGCTCTTGTAAAAAACTAAAGCTTTGAAGAAATGTTAAAAAAAAAAACTCAGGGGTTTAGTTCTCTTTCCAGCAAAAATGACAGCTCCAACTCTAGCGACCGAGGTGTAATTTTTCCAAAAAACGCACTCGACGAAGAGCTGGAATGGCCCAGCGTTGTAACTTGAGCAAACAAGACAGTTCAAACTCAAACAAGACAGAAATTTTTCCTAAAAAACGCAATCGACGAAGAGCTGAAATTGCCCAGCTTTATAACTTGAGCTTAAGACAGTTCAAACTCAAGCGAGAGAGAAGTATCTCCCAAAAAGAAAAGTAAAGGAAAGAGGAAAACACGTGTGGCTCGTCACTTCAGCAAGCATGCATCTTCATGTACTGAGGACCGCGAGCAAGAAGAATTGGCTGTTAAACAATGAGTGCAAAAAATGTCCGATGTTGCAAAACTGAACGAACCAGAAAGCAGTGAGGATGTCGGGACTAAAGCCATCGACCTTCATGAGATAAATCAGATGACAACCCAGCAACAGCAAAGCACTGAAGACTTGGATCGCGAAAACAACGACGATTCTGTTCATTCATTTCTACCGAACATTTACAAACCGCCGATTAATGATACTGGTAAGTCGATTTTACTTTAGTTTAAGGGACTTGTCCGAGACATGTCTTCGTTTTTTGGCCAGTACCTTATTGGTACTCAATTTCGCGGTTTTCAATAGGATAGATTTCAATAGGAAAATATCCAAAAGAGCATTTAATTTCGCGCTGTAGTTATATTGTTCAGTTTCGAGAAGGAGTAAATGATGAGTTTGGACTTGTACGGTACTATTTGTTTGTAAGGAACACAAATTTTAAAAGGAAAGGTAACATTTGTTCATTTGAGCTTGAGGACCAAGATGATATGATGGTTAAGTCATTCATTGAACAGGTGTTCCATCATTTGCTGTGAACTAATATTTATATAAATCTGGGTTTCATAAAAATGTGTTTTATTGAATTCCAAAGACTCCAGTATGTTTGAGCAACTTGCTCAGATTTCAGTTTTGGCAGACCCTTCCTATGATGTACATTAAGTCTACCTGGAATACGTCCAAAATTTATGCAAGGATCAACCTCAGAAGTATGGAAATGTGTACACTCAACTCTGCACCTTTGTTTTCCATAAATTTAAGAGCT